TATCGGAACAGTCTTCTTCCTCGGATCTTTCCTCGCTTATAAATCGATGATTGTTCGCGGAAAATATCCCAGCGGAGAAGATGGATTTTATACGCGAAACTTCAATTTTATCAAACATATGCTCTCCTTATATGAATTAATAAAAAGAATTCAATAAAAAGGGACCAATGAGAAGAAAATTGCTCAGGACGATATATAGGCACATGTACTATGTATATAAAATATAGGATAAATGTACGTGTAATGTATTTTTGCATTTGAATTCTAAATTTTATTGTGTGTGATAAATGTTATTATTTTCTTCCATCCTTTCAAAAAAAAAAAAAAAGGTAGATATTATTTTTAGTTCTAAATTCAATAAAGAAAAGAATAATATAAACTTCCTTTGACCTGTAGAATAAATTTTTGCATTATAAATTCTACTTATTAATGCTTTCAAAGTACTTTCAAAGTACAGGATACATACTGAAAGAGAGAAAAAGAGATTTAATCAGACACAGGAATTCTCTCCAAATAATAATAAAATTAATGAACAGATATCTCAAAAATCGATTATATATCGCTCCTTTAATTTCTGTGACTGTCAAAAAAATTTCTTTTCATACAATTTAAAATAAAAGGTATATATTAAGGAAAAGGAGGCGTTTCTTGCAAAAAAATTAGCAAGCAGCGCGATCGGCGTTTTAATATTCTAAAGGTTAATCGCCGCACAACAATGCTGTTGCAATAATTCGTGCAATACACAGGTGCGGTAACGCATACGCATATCCCTCATATTTCACGCCCCTTTGGTTTCCGCCATACACAGACCACCCACGCCGATACTCTGCACGACGCACAGAGTCTATTGGCATTATGTTCGCGCATCCTCGGATGCGAAATTAACGATAGCAGTAAATGGGATGCGCATCAGAGATATAACAAAGGACAGACAAAATTTGCAAAATTGATTAAATTTATTATCGATGAATATAATATTTATTAACATATCAGAAAACAATATTCTCTTAATCATAATTAAACTACATTGCTCGCGAGAGAGATGTGCGTGTGTATATACACTGAAAAAATTCTTAACTTGACTAAACCTTTCAATTAAATATTATTTTGTGAATTGAACATATAAAAATAGTTAAATTAAATATAATATATTAAATTTAACAAAATATTTGACTTAAATATTAATATATTGTTTAATTAACAAAATAGTAATTTAGTTGAACGATTCAATCAAGTTAACAAATTTTTTCGGTGTACTAACAATCAAAGTATATAGCTAAATAGAGTTAAACAATTTTTTTAAATTAACTAAATTTATTTTATTATTTATAATAAATTGATATTGTTTTCAAAATATCCACTTTTACAAAATTAGCCAATATACATAATATTTTTATGCTAACAAACTCTTTTACATAAATTTGAAATATACGAAAAATACAACAAAAAATAAAGTGGTTATTCAAAGTAAAAATACATATCTCTAAAGATATGTATATATATATATATATATATATATATATATACATATCTTTAGAGATATGTATTTTTACTTTGAATAACCACTTTATTTTTTGTTGTATTTTTCGTATATTTCAAATTATATATATATATATATATATATATATATATATATATAATACTGTAATCTCTTCTAATGCTTTGTTGGAAATATAAAAACTAGTACAGCATACTTTATATACCTGTATAGCAACTATTCCCATCGGGAAGGAATATTTTTGAATGAGAAATGTATCGTGCATTTCTGTTCTATCCGAGAAACGATCTATTTAGGATCGTTATCTTCATTTACATATATGGCGTACAACGCTTTGTTTGTTGAGATAGATATTTACTCGATATGTCCAAAGCGGAGAAGTTCGAATTGCGCCAAGATTACTAGTCGAGACTCCACTTCGCGACATTCAGATGGCAAATACAACTTAGACAATTGTCCGTCGACTTAACAAGTTTCAAACTATTGACGTTGACCGATGTCATCCAAAGCAAATTTATTCAGATTAAATATTACAAACTTTTTAAAAGTAAAAAAGGAATATATTATTTTGCATATACAATTATGATACTCTATTTACAAATAAATCACCAATTTTTAACTGTTATATAAGATTTTAAAATGCTGTACAATTTTTGTTTTACATAACTAATAAAATATAATATTATAAAAAAGCAATTTTATTAAAAAATTTATAAATAGAAATAAAATTTTGTAACATTAATATAGCATCATAAATATTAATAAAATTTTTTATAATAATGTTAATACAAAATGTATTATTTTTGTTGTATTTTTCGTATATTTAAAAAGTTTATTTCAAAATGCAAAAGAGTTTTGCATATATTTAACAATACTTGATGTTATAAAATAAGGGAAAAAGCAAGTTATTGTTTATATTTTGTATCAAGATATTGATACGAAAAGAATATATTTTATTGCATATTGTACATATGAGTCTAAAATGTCCATTATAATGGAATATTATCTGAGCCAGGGGAGAATGTGAAAAGGTTGTCAAGAAAGTATCGGGGTCGACATCATGTCGTTTCTTTTTTATCAACAATTTATCAGCGTCCCGGTGCAGCTATTGTTAATAAATCTTCTCCCACGTGGAATCTGACTCTTTGCACGGCCTGTCAGTGTCGGATAAATATAGCCGGCGACGATACCACGGAAAGATTATTACCGCATTGCAACCATGATAGCCACATTTTTCTTCCCCCATTTTGTCCTTATGCTCTTGGTCGTCGTCATTCGATTCTTCCCCGCCGGGTACATCGCTACCGCAAAACGTTTAGTACCTGTCCCGTTAATAATATTTGCCTTCTCCTACTCTTCCTCTCCCTCGAGACCATCCTGACCTGCCTCACGGAAGTTTGTCGCGCACAACTGGCGCATAACTACTAGTTGCCGGTAGGGCACAATCTCTAAGGAATTTCACTGACAAAGTCCACATCAAGATTTTTTGATCAAAAATTTAATTAAATATTACTAGTTTTATATATGTATATTAAAACATTTATTATACAATTATAAATGTAACAATTTTTCAATCGTTTTTATCTAATTTAATATATAAAAAGTTCTAAGATGTCATTTGTTAGTAGAATTTTTCTACAAACTAATTTTAATTTTCTTATTACTTATTATCGTTCAAAAAATACTAATTTTTAATTAAACTATAATTTTTTACAAACATTTGTTATATTTTTGTTTAAGTGATTTTTGTGTTTAATAGTTCATTGGCGATAAAAACAATATGCCGCGAGCGAATGCTGGCAAGCGCTAAAAAAAGCTGTCAAAATTCATGCAATCTCCATGACAATCCTTCGGCATATTGCAAACTCGAGAGGAGTTTATTACAATTTTCTGCGTTCTTCTAAAGCAGTAATATTAAGCTTCAAACGAATAAAATAAAATAAAATAAAAATAAACGCTCGTCGGTGAAAACAACACGAGTGGTCTGAATTTCTTTTCTTGAATATTAGATTATTAAAAAATTATATAGGTATATGTATATTTCTATTTTTATTATTTTCTTTTTTCTTTTTCAATAATACAAAATTATTAATAATAAAGATATATAAGATAATTAGTATATAACTTTAAGTTATATAATTTTTATTTGCAGTCGCAGAAATAGGAAAAATGCATTATGAAATGATATTCAAAGCCCTTTTTCTTTCAGAGAACTAAATTAAATAAGTAAATGTAATTTGAATGCTTATTGTGGATATTATATAAAAGTATATACATACATATATACCTTCTTTAATAAATACATATATATCTTTGAAAATTTATTTTAAAATTAGTAGTGCTTTAAAATATTATGTATACAACAACGAATAACAGTATAACAGATGATTTTTCAATTATTTTTTACATATGTATATAAAACACAACCGATCTCTTACGAATATTTACATGTGAAATTACATGCACGGTCAATACTAATAATCAATATTTGCAATCCAGTCGAATCTATTTACCATAATGTCAAATTGTCAACACTGATTGCAAGATGCGGTTACATTTTCGCAAAGTCAATCGGAATCCGATCGCTTCTATTAAAGTTGTTTTAATAAACACGTTTTAATAAACAGTCAATAAATAATTTATCGTATTTTTAATTTTTACTTTCAATGTAAAACGTACGTAAATATCTGTTAAAAACCATAATTACGCCGAGAAATTAATTACGTGTCTCCGGTGTGAGTGTCATCATCGCTGCAGATAACAATTCCCATGCAGCCTCGTGTATCTATCACATCCTATTCATGCTCTTACAGCGAGGGTATTATAGCCTCTCCGTATGTTCTCTCGTAAACAACTGCTTCTCATTGTTTAGCACTTCTCTCATTAATAACGTCTTCTTATCGAACAATATCGCTCTTAATGTGATAACCGTTGACTTGAAGCTTCAGCTTATGAAGTTCTTTCTGAGTTGTTGATAATAATTACATCATTTTATATAATTAATCATTTCTAAAACTTGTGCTCATCTAAAATGTTGCGTTCAAAGCTTTGACATAATTGTCATGTTTGATATATTTCAATTGCTAAAATTGTACGTTTATAACAAGTCATTATTTCTTGTAACACATAATAATTTCTCATCAATTTGATCACGCACTTGTAAATTTAAAACGTGTTATTAAAATTTTATACGCTTGTAAGAAATGTGCCATTCCGTGTAAAATTTGTATTTCAAAAATCCATTGAGTGTTCGATTATTTCACATGCAGTTTAATTATGCAAAACTGGCTACCAAAATTTTACATGTAGATTATTACTACGGCACACTTCCTAGGATCATATTATAATAATATCGATTTGTTTTACTAAAGGATTTAAAATACCATCGAAATATTCGTTAATCTATACTAGTACATAAAACTGATTTTGCTCTTTATAATAATCTTTTATAATAACATACAGAATTTTATCGAAGGATTAATATCAAAAGCAAATTTTATAGGGATAAATACAAGGGTTAATACAAAATTAATACGATAATACAATGTTGAAAAATGAAAACCTTTTTAATCAATCGATCATAATTACGAGAGCTATCATGGATCTTATTCAAAATTTCCATGAAAATGCAGGTTTCCGACCGATGAGTTTTGGATTACGATTCTGTCTGTCTCTAAATCTCATTTATGAGTATTTTTTGAAATCGTTGCCACGTAACGAAACAAACGATCTTCCGCAATCTCTTTCGCCCAAGGCTTTATCCCGACTGGAATCGATGCTTTTCCATTTGCTCGCAAGGCGTTGAAAATTGTCCTACCGTTTCGAGTATTATTCGAACGTCCACGATAGAACAACTTAGGGAAAACAGAATCACTCCGATTGGAAACCTTCCCGAATAGTTTCATGATAGCTCGTCGGCTGTATCAATATGCAGTTCTGTTGTTAGGAAACTGACCATTATTAAAAAATGTCACCGATTGCCAAGATCGTGGTAACAATTCGTTCCAATAAATTGTCTGTATGGTCTGATTATGGCTTGATTTAGATTCCTTTTCGTGATTTTCGTCGCCTTCCTGCAAGGAAGATTTTCCGCAGAATAAATCGAGGAATATGAGAACTAGGAAATATAGTAGCTCCACGATGGTGATGAAACTGAAGCCGATGAAGACACCACATATACCGCCGATATCGCCTGTAAAATGACCAGCCTTTACGACACGACTACGCCTTGATAGCGCGGAAGGATAAGACGATTCGATGAAACGGCCGCGCGTTTTTTAATGTCGTACTTAAAGGGATAAGAAATGTTACGAGCAGTGGCGATTTACGCTGTAAAAACGATAATGGATTTTTACAGCGATATCTCACCGCCATTTCCTCTTCCTTCTTTACGAAACCGTTGCTCTTTAATCAATGCTTTAATCAATGCTTTGCGCAGGTCAGATATACGTCTTATATATTTTAATAATAACTTTCGTAAAAGTTGTAATTAATATTTAATTAAGATTAAAAATTAGTTATTATTTTTCTCCGATTTTCAATATAAGTATGTGCATAAATCGTCACAAATACATATTCATTTATTATAATTGAAATCATATTCCTTAAGAAATATATTTTGCTTCAGTTTGTTTGCAAAATATCAGCAGCTAGAAATTGCTGTTTTATATGAGAAAAAAGTACTCCTTTTTTCACGAAAAATCAGAAAAAATGAAGAAACATTACACATGGTTGAATATTAAATTCCATTTTTGTGAACCCTCGGGTTCTTGCATGGATAAAAAATTTCTCTTTTATATTACTTTTATTTATGAGATGTCTTTTTTGCTATATATTGTGACGTGGTCTTTTTGAGCCCGTCACAAGGGCGGACGCGCCCGGCCGGGAAGCGTCTGAGAGCGCTATATTATTTTGTGTCTCGTGCGGGTGAGCAGCGACCTTTTCGCTAGCTCGCCCGCACTCTGTATCGGGATCGAGGTGGTAGGCCAGGAGAACGGCCATTGTTTTAGGGAGAAGAGGACCCGGACAGGCGACGGAGGAACGACCTCGAAAGGGGAGGAGCAGAGACTGAGCGACCGGCCCGGTGAGTATTACGAACGATAACCTATACACGGTACCGAGAAAATAAGGAAGCGATACTGCAGAGAAACTCGTTACAGCTTCGATGGGACGAACAGGAGCAGTCCAGATCAGGGAGTAAAAGGCGCCTACATCCCTCGACAAGGATGATGCCCTGAGGGGCCCGCCACCACGCCTCGAGAGAAACACGGAGATCTAACGGGATTGATCACCCCGGAACGACTTCCCTCAGCCAAGAAAGGTCGTTTGGAACATCAGCATACGGCCATACGAGGTGTGGACGGGACCGCCGAAAATGGACCCGCTACATCATCGCTCCCGAGGGCTGGAATTTGAATTTGGCGGCGGAAGTCCGCGACCAGCCGCGAGACACCGGAATCGATACGAGGATCGATTCCGGGTCCGGCGCGGGGCGCAACGCTGCCGCGAAACCTGGCAACCGGGCCGGGGTGGCGCGCATTGTCTTCCCCCTCCCCACCAGCGTACCTGCCGAGGTCCCGCCGGCCCGAACGGAAATCACTGTTCGGCAAGCCGGTGTCCTGCGAGCACACCCAGGGACAACGACCCACTACAGCCCACTGCGACGGCGAAATATTGTAAGGCCACCTCCTCGATCGTCCGGTAAGCGCGGATTCGGCAGAGATCCGTGAGTCATTAGAGAAAATTAACGATACCGAGCAATTATGCTGTAAATCATTTAGTACCGAGAATTAGTGGAGAGACTCACGGGACTCACGTCGATTCCCGCGTCATTAAGTTATTGCGTAAATCTTTGCCTTCTTCGCCTCTCCGAGGGGCACCGAAACGAGTCGACAGTCATATCGTAGTATATTATATTTGTAGCATTGTATCGAGTCATTAATTAACGAAATTTGAGAATAAGTTACGCTGGATTGGTATATGATCCATTCGATTCCGAGCCGGTTACAAAGGGAGGAGAGTAACGATAACTAAAGATTTCGATAACACCCAGCGATCTCCCAACGGCTCGATAATAAAATTATAGCTACTTTGATTCACCCCATTTATATACTATTAACTGAAAATATATTCTTATTTTATCCTATTTCTGAGTACAATCAATATCGAGATTTCCTCTCTCTCTCCGGGACTGCGATTCCGAATCTCCTTACGGAAAGAACCACGACACTCTACCCCTTGTTGATACCGAGCTACCGAGGCCGAGCCGTCGTGTCCGCTGATTATTAGTTGAGCTATTGTTGAGTGGTGCGGCCTGACCGCACCTGGCGCCCAAAAAGATACGATACCGAGCAATCAGTGATACCGAGCAAGTATCGAGAGAACGGAGAGCGGCACGACGAGGTTGCGCAGCAGTCTCTCTCGCCCTCTCTCTCTTAGTTTGACGAGAGAGGACGGAGAGGCGGTCGCAAATTTGGCGCCCAACGTGGGGCCTCTCGAAAGAGAGGATAATTAATAAAGGAGAATACGTGTCGTTTCGGGTAACGGAGAGACAGTAGGGTGAGAGGAATACTTCTCTTTTGTTTTTCTTTCCTTTTTCTTTGTCTATCGGGCGCTGACTTGAGTCTCGCCCGAGCAGGGATCTCCGTCGGAGATTCTCCGAGTATTATTTGACTTAATACAGTCGATGACTTTTGTTTATTGCATGCATTTGTATTACTTTGTCCCCAATTATTATTGTTCCCGCGTTATTAAGATTGTTCCCATTGTGCTTGTCTCGATATCTCGAGACTTCCCGTCACAACGGGGGGGACTCGAATTTGAGGTGCCATCGCGTTAAGTGCACGAGTACGAAGGAGCGCTACGCGTATGACAGAGAGCGACCACCGACACGTTTCTTTGTCGCGCGCGGCATCGTAAACCCGACCGCGTAGTATAGTATTACAAAGGTAGCGCGCTCATACGCCTTTTACGACTTTCTTTGATATATCGAGTGAATTATAGGCACCTGATTGATACCGAGTTTTTCGTGTGATACAAAGTCGGCAAATATTCCTGTCCCAGTATGGGGAATAGTATTGGAAAGCGACGAATTTTTTTTCTCTTCTTTCTTTCTTTCGATCTCTTCGCGGAAATATTTACCACTCGTCGAGCCGAGTCTAAAAGCGGGTAAACACGTACTGTTCTTGAAGGATTATCGCGTCCTCAGATATTATGGTCAAGATACCGAGAGCTAAGAACGAATATTGGTGAATAGATGTTTACGCGAATTCCCGAAATTCCTTAGCGAGACTCGACTCAGTAACGGACGTCCGTGTATACAAAGGAACATTTTTTTTTCTCCCACTTCCTCGCATACGCTGCCTTTCGCGAACTTGTTAGTTTCTTTCTGTTTATCGAATTAGGAATAAGAATAGAATTTTTTTTCTCTTCTTCTTCTCTCTTCTTCTCGCCCCTTCTTTATCTCCTCAAGAGATATTCGCGCCGAATATTCACGCCTGTGAGTGACTTTCCTATTAACTAGGAATTTATAGAATATCGTTCGCGACATATTTTCGGGTTCTAGGAGGGGGGGTATCGTGACCGAGCGGCGTAATCAAGGATTGACGGTGTCTAATTTAGACAACGCTCACAAAGATACCGAGAAAGAGTTAGTTGGCGAGACAGTTGAGGGAGGGAGCGTACGTTTAGTCAATCCGGTCACGGTCCGCGTACTATCTATCTTCCCCTTCGAGATCTCATTTCCCTCACACCGTCACTAACCATAAAACGAAATGTCGACAAAAGAACAATTTCGGTGGATTCGAAAGTTATCAAAGGAGGAAGTGAGGTGTGCCCTCGCGGAGAGAAAGCTGTCCGTCAAAGGGATCCTCCCCACCCTTAGGGCTCGATTATTGAGATACGAGGCCGCGCAATTAATAGGGCGAGAGCATATGCCGACCCCTGAAATATCGGAAGCGTCAGACGAGGAGTCGGATACCGAGGAAGGTGCTGTCGGGGGCGAAGCCCTAGCGTGGTCCTCGAAACCGCGAATCAGGATACATCCCCCAGAGCCAACAGAGACGCACCCGGAGCCGCGGAGAAATCCCGAGCCGTATCGCCCTCGCGTAAAACCGAATTCCGCCGTGGACGCGTATAACGTAATGCGAAAGTGGAATTTAAATTTTTCCGGGGCACGCGACGGGGAGGCGGAGGCCTTCCTCATTCGTATAGAGCAGGGTCGGCAATTAATTCCCTTAGATGACGACGAAATATTTAAATGTCTGCCGTTCTTTTTATCGGGCACCGCGGCCCATTGGTTTCGTCTGAATCAACATCTTTGGCGTACCTGGGGGCAATTCGAGGCCGCGTGGCGTGCGCGATTTGGATGCCCGAACTTCCAATTCACCTTGCGGGACGAGATAATGCGACGCAAGCAGGGGGAAGACGAACCCGTCGCCGATTATATAACCTGCATGCAGGCCTTGTTCGAACGATTGGACCCCCCATGGCAGCTAAACGAACAGCTAAATTACGCGCATAGAAACATGATACCGAGGTTGCGTATAGCTGTGAGGCGTAACGAAATTTATGATTTTCGGTCATTAGAAACCCTCGCGTCGCAGATCGAGGAATGTTACGATCTAGATAGACAGCCGACAACAACGCGGTCTATTTTTCCGGAACTCGCGTATAGGGGAGCATCGCGATCACCTAGACACCCGAAAACGGTCACCGCGGCCGCAGTCCCCGCGACCGCGCCCAAGAAAAGGGGGAAAGCTACCGAGACGAAGAGGCTCCGGTAGCCGCCGTGAATAACGCGGGTACGGACACGACACCCTCCTCATCCACCGCGAGTAGCCGATTAGCCGACATGAAATGTTGGAATTGTGGACAAAAGGGACACCGATCGCGAGAATGTACGCAGACGCGAAATCTGCATTGTTATCGGTGCGGAAAGAAACAGCACACGACGCGAACGTGTCCAAATTGCGCGGGAAACGAGGGAGAGAGTCGGTAGATCGGGTCCTATCGGCTCAAAAGGAACGGACTCGAGAAATTACAGGCACCGGGGGTATAGAATCATACGTGACCTTAGACGATACCGAATTTCCCCCGTTGCAATATTTCGAAGTATACATAAAAGGACGACCGTTAAGAGCTCTTGTCGACTCAGGCTCGAGTAGAACGCTGATAGGGACGGAGGGAATTAAG